GACGAACAGGCGAGCAATTTCTTCTGCTGAGATCGATTTCCTGCACGCAGTAAAGTGAGCCATTTTTGTCAGTCTATCAACGACGACCATTACCGCGTCGTTACCCCTAGGGTTTGAAGGTAACCTCGTGACAAAGTCCATGATAACTTGCTGCTTGGTGCGCTTGGGCGGTGGAATCGGCTGCAACTGACCCACCTTTCTGTTTCGCGAGCTTTTCAAAGTAGGACACGAGCCCACGTGGTGCTGTACGTCGGTCAACAGCTCCGTCCAGTAGAAATGCCGCTGCTGTTGCTGTCGCGTTTCCCAAAGTGACACAAGGTAACCTCGTCATGTGCCTCCTGTAGTAACAGTTCCCTCAGTAGTGAGTACACGGGTACCCAAATGCGGTTGGTGCCTGCCTTTACGTAATAGAGTTGCTGTGAATTTTTGGTCGTGAAAAATGGGTCGGTACTGTATCCGTGGATGAATAGGCATGTTAACAATGGGTTGGTTTGGACGAGTAGGATGGCGTGGAGTCAAACGGTAGGGCGGGTGAGTGCTTTGGAGATATTTGTCGCGCCTTTTTTGTACGTGACGGTGTGGTGGAAATTGGACTCCACGTAGTCCAACCAGCGGATATGTCGCGGATTGAGATTCGGTTGGGCGCGGAGGTACTGTCGTGATCGGTGATCTGTCCGTACTGTCACATCGGGAGCACAGCCACACCTTGAACGTGTGCACGATTGCCAGCATTTCACGGTCATGTATCGAGTAGTTGAGTTCGGGCAGGTGAAGCTTGCGAAAATCGTACGCGATTGGCTGAAGGCCGTTCCCAAAGTCCTGCAAAAAAAGTGCTCCCATAGCGATGCCACTTGTATCGGTGACGAGTTCGATCGGACAGTGAGGATCTGTGATGCGGAGTACGGGGAACGAGCAACGGGGCAGTCAACTTCGCCATGTCGGGGACGAGCTGTCCCACGTAGTAGACGAACCCCAGAAAAATTTGCAACCCAGTCAAGGTTTTCGGCGCTTGCCATGCTTGAATTGTTGCACGCAAGGCAGTGACCAAAACCTAGCAAAGGTAAGCATGCAAGTGCAGGTAAATATAGATCACAGTACAGGCAAAGTCAAGAAGTGAGCAAGTGAGGCCAAGTAGGCACAAGACCTAGCATCATACAGAAGCGCTGATGATCACCAGGCGGAAGTGCCTTGGTAAAGATATCAGCAGTGTTGGCCTCAGAGGCCACGTAAGCAAGGTGTAGCTGACCACGCTGCTGCAGCTCACGAGCAAGGAAGTAGCGAAGAGCAATGTGCTTTGTTCTGTGCTCCAGTCTGTGCTCCCGACACAAGGCCAGCATGGCCTTGTTGTCCACGTACAGAACTGGAGGAGAACGAGGCGGCTCTCCTAGGTCAGTCAGCAGGTAGGTGAGCCAGCGTAGCTCCTGTGCAGCCATGGCCCCTGCATAGATCTCAGCCTCACAGCTGGAGCTGAGAACAGAAGACGAGCGGGTAGACCGCCACGAAATAGAGCCGGAACCAAGGCTAAAGGTGTAACCCTGTGACGACCGCTGCGAAGCCAAGTCATCAACCCAATACGCGTCTGCCTGACCACTGAGGACCACTGGACTCCGCCCTCCGAGCACGAGCCCCATGCCTGACGTACTGCACAAGTAGCGCAACACCCTCTTCGCTGCAGCCATGTGCTCTCGTCGATGTCTCCCAGGAGTAACATAGCGTGCCAAGATGCTAAGAGGGTATGCCAGGTCAGGTCGAGTGCAGGTCATCAGGTACATGAGGCAGCCAACAAGCTCTGGGTACGGGCCACTCGGCTCTATGGACTCATCCGAAGGCAGAGCTGAGAGCGAGTGGCGAGTAGACAGAGGAGTGGCCTGAGGCGAGGAGTACGTGAAGTCGAAACGCTGAAGGACCTGCTGCACCATGTGTGACTGAGTCAGGGTAATGGTGCGCCGTGCTCTGTCCCGGGTGATCTGCAAGCCAAGATAGCTACGCAATTCACCCAGGTTTGTGCACGTGTGTCTCTTCCGCAGCTCGAACTTCACGTGGGCGAGTCCAGCAGTGTCAGCAGTAGCAAAGACCAAGTCGTCGACGTACACGAGGATGTAGAACGGCGGCAGTGAAGTGTCGGTGCGTAGAAACAGCGACGGGTCAGCAGTAGAAGGAGCAAACCCAAGGGCCGCAAGCGTAGTCCTCAGTGTGTCGTGCCACTCATGGGGCGCCTGGCGGAGACCGTAGACTAGCCGCCGGAGGCTCAACTGGGTACCAGGAGGAAACGAACCAGTGAAGTCAGGTGGGCGGCGCAGCCAGATCTCCTCATGCAGGCTACCCTCTAGGAAAGCAGTGCTGAAGTCAAGAGAGTGAAGCTCGTAGTCGCGCTGAGCGGCTATGTGCAGCAGCACCCGAAGAGTGGTCATCTTCGGGGTGGGAGAGAAGGTCTGGAAGTAGTCAACTCCTTGTCGCTGACTGAAGCCTTGAGCCACGTAACGGGCCTTGAAGATAGGTGGAGAACCAGGCGGCTGCTTCACCCTCAAGATCCACATGCCACTGAGAATGTTCGCCCCAGGTGGGGGAACCTCGTCGACGTAGGTGCCTGTGGACTTCAAGGAAGCCATCTCTGCGTCCATGGCTGTCTGCCACTGAGAGGAGTAGGGACCCTCTATCGCCTCTGCGTAAGAGCGCGGGGTCGGGATGTGTGGTGCATCTGGGTCTCCCTTAGGGGCAAGCAACATGGACACAAGATGAGGTAAAGCAGCAGCAAAACACTGGAACTCCTCCTGCCTGTCCTCAAGGACGTCCGTGCTAAGAGCTCCCTCACCCTCGACGGACGGAGGACAGACAGATTCAGACTCAACAACAAGACTAGTGGCGTAGTCTAGACGACAGCGAGCAGCAAAGTCGACAAGCTCAGCAACTAATGCAGACGCAAAAGTGGACTCAAAGGAAGGGTCAGTGACAACAGTGGCCAGGAGACGCATGACAGTAGGACTGGCAGCACGAAGGGAGTCAGACTCCGGGTCAGCAAGAGCAGGAAGAGAGGACTCAGGAGGAGACGGCAAAGGGACACGTAGTGGAGCAGTGGAAGGACGCAGTGCCATCTGGTGCGTGCCTGGGACCGCAGGAGGACGCTGACGCGGAACACGACGACCAGTGCGAGCAGCACGAACAGGCAACGCAGGACGAGACTCAGGCTCACGACGCTCAGCAAGACCTCCAGTAGGACCAATGTAGGGAGAAGGAGCAGGCAGTGGGAAGGCCAGCTGTAACTGTGACTCGGACTGGACAGGCGGTGGACACTCTAAGGAAGGAGCAGGACCAGTAGAAGGCGGGAGACCAAGAACCTGCTCAAGGAGCGGAACGAAGTACGGCCGCGGCCGCGCAGCACCTCCAGAACCAGCAGGGACAGCGCCAGCACCCCCAGGAGCACCGGCTCCAGTAGCACCTCCAGCTCCAGCACCTCTAGCAGCTGCAGCTCCAGTAGGACCACCGGAAGACGAAGCAGCTCCAGCTCCAGAACCTCCAGCAGCACCGCCAGCTCCAGCACCGCCAGCAGCTCCAGCACCAGTAGCACCACCAGGCCAAGCAGCTCTAGTACCTCCAGTAGGAGCACCTCCGGGACTCGTGGCTCCAGAACCCCCAGCAGCCCCAGCAGCGGAACCTCCAGCGTCGGAAGCACCACCAGCTCCAGCAGCACGGCTCCAGCGCCGAGCAAACCACTTGCGCAGCTCCTGCGGAGAGAGTAGCTCCCGCCGGGACGAAGCACCCGAAGGACCTCCAGGCCCAGCACCACCAGACTCCACACAAGCATGCCCAGCACCCTCAGGCTCCGCACCCCCAGACTCAGCAACCCCAGGCTCAGCACCCCCAGACTCAGCACCCCCAGGCTCAGCACCCCCAGACCCAGCAGCCCTAGGCTCCACACTCTTAGGCTCAGCACCCCCAGACCCGGTACCCGCAGGCTCAGCACCCCTAGCAGCACCAGAGTCAACATCTACCTCGACAGACTCGACTGCGTCTACCTGGGACACACCTGAGGGGGCAGGACCCTGAGGGGGGAGGGGGTCTATCGGGGGGGGACCTGGCGCGAGGAAGAGCGGCGGGGGGGGAAGGGGAGCAGTGCGGTAGGGGAAGAGACAGTAGTAGGGAACCGACTCGTCAAACGTGACGTCCTGAGAGGACAGAACACGGCGCGAAGTGGGGTGGTAAAACTGCCAACCTCGCGCGTCAGGGGGGAAGCCATGGAAGACGCAGGAAACAACACGGGAGGACAGCTTGTCCGCAGACAAGTCGCGGACGAAAGCTCGCGATCCCCAGACACGGAATGCAGACGCATTGCCAACCTTTCACGTCCACCGCAGAGCAAGGGAGGTCTATGTCATGGAGACCCGGGGCTGAAGGTCGATCACATGCGCCGCATACTGAACCGCGAACGGCCACAGAAAATGTGGGGCACCCGCATAGATCATGGACGTACGAGCGACGTCCATGACCATGCCCATGCGGCGCTCATAAATCCCATTTTGCTGCGAAGAGGCCGGAAGCGTGAACGTCTGGCGGATGCCCTTGACACGATAGAGGGCTCGCAGAAGGTTGGAGGAAAACTCTCCACCTCTGTCGGAGTGCAGACGCAGAACAGGAAAGTCCGAGTCGAACCTCTCTCTGAGCTGGAGACGGGCAGCGCGGATCCAGTCGATCAACACCTTGTCACAATAGATTTATATCTATTTAGTATAATCTGCCTGTAGTGTAGCTGTTGTGTAATTCCCTTGTATGGTGGTGCACCTCTTTCACCTTTGTTAGGTTGCTATATGTACTCGTGTGCTATAGTGAACCTCCAACCATTTTCAATTCTCCTTGGCACAAACTCATTCGACACCCGTTTGGCCTAGGCTACTAAGCCTAGGCCCTTAGTTAAACCCGTTCCCAGCTAAGTTCGTCTCGTGACATGGTATCAGAGCTAGGTCGTTCCCGACCTATTTCTGAAGGGCCCACCGTTAACCTTCACAATGGCGCGTCCCGTTAACCAGCAAATCGCGGCCGCGTTCGTCCTTTCCCGTCGCTCGCCCATAGCAAAATTTGTCACGGTAGGCATGACGGACACTACGGTCGCGGCGGGAGTGACGGCGATCGTCGACCCGCTGCTTTGCGCCGTCGTTTGCGCCCCCGTCGACCCCGCGCACTACCTGCTACTGCAGCCCGCCACCCGCGCGATTTCCACTACTGCAGCTCGTCGCCCGTCCCGTCGCACTGCCACCCGTCGCCAGATCCCCGCCACCCGTACGCACTCCGCTGCCCGTCGCCAAGTCCCCGCCCGCCCTCCCGTCGTCTTCGCAAGTGCTGTGAAGGGAGTGGCGGGGGTGGCGAGAGTGGTGGGAGTGGCGGGAGAAGCTGCTGCTACGCCATTGCACGCGTCAAATCGTCCGCGACCCGCACCCAGCACCCAGCCCGTCGCCCGTACGCCACCTGCACCCGGCACCCCACCCGCCGCCCGTGCGCCACCCGCACCCCGCACCCCGCCCGTCGCCCGTACGCCATCCGCATCACGCCGACGTCCGTGCCCCCGTCCGCGAGACCCGTCCGAACCCCGTACCTGCACCCAGACCGCCGTTCTGCCCCAGATCCCGCCCCCCCCCGCCGACAACTGCCACCCCACCCCCATCTCCGGCTCCGTATCCAGCGGGAAGGGGAGGAGGTGTGGTGTTGGCCCGAAGGGGACGGCTGGGGGAGGGGGAGTGGCGGGGTTGGCGGCTCATGTAAGGGTTTAGGGTGGGTAATCCATCTGCAGCTACTGCCGCCACACCTCCCCCTCTCTCTCTCCGCCGCCGCTGCTGCTGTGGGGGGGGAGGTTCAAGGGGTGTGGGTGGTGAAATTTCAACTCAAGCATCATCCGCCTCCTCCTCCTCTCATCCCTTGCCCCGTGCCCATGCCCGTGCTGTCCGCTCGTGTTCCACGTGCCCTTGCTGTCCGTACCCGGTTGTGCCCCGCCAGTCTTACCCGTGCTGTCCGTACCCGGTTGTGCCCCGCCAGTCTCACCCGTGGTGTCCGTACCCGGTGCCCCCCGTGTTCCCGTGCTGCCCCCCGTGTTCCCGTGCTGCCCCCCGTGTTCCCGTGCTGCCCCTCGTGTTCCCGTGCTGCCCCGCTCTCCCCGTGCTGCCCCGTTCTGCCTGTGTTGTGCCCGTTCCCGTGCCGTGTTGCCCCGTTCAGCCCTTGTCCTGCCCCGTTCTTCCTGTGCAGCCCCGTTGTCCCCGTGTTGCCCCGTTCTGCCCGTGTTGCCCCGTTCAGCCCGTGTCCTGCCCCGTTCAGCCCGTGTTTTGCCCTGTTCTGCCCGTGTTGCCCCGTTCAGCCCGTGTCTTGCCCCGTTCTGCCCGTGTTGCCTCGTTCAGCCCGTGTCCTGCCCTGTTCAGCCCGTCTTATGCCCTGTTCTGCCCGTGTTGCCCCGTTCAGCCCGTATCTGCCCCGTTCAGCCCGTGTTGCCCCGTTCTGCCCGTGTTGCCTTGTTCAGCCCGTGTCCTGCCCCGTTCAGCCCGTGTTCTGCCCTGTTCTGCCCGTGTTGCCCCGTTCAGCCCGTGTCCTGCCCCGTTCTGCCCGAGTTGCCCCGTTCAGCCCGTGTCCTGCCCCGTTCTGCCCGTGTTGCCATGTTCTGCCCGTGCTGCCCCGTTCTGCCCGTTTGTGCCCTACCCGTGCTGTCCGTACCCGTTCGTGCCCCACCCGGTCTGTGCTGCCCGGTCTCGTGCTGCTCGTCACTCCCGTGCGGCCCGTCCCGTACAGCACCTAGTTGCTACCCGAACCCGCTACCCGTACCCGTGCTCCTCGCACACCGTGCACCAGCTGCGGGGCGTTCAACCGCAGCCGGGCACCTGTTCCACCGCGGTGGTTCAGATGCTGCTTGGTGGTTGCTGCTTGTCAGCTTCAGAGGGGGCCCCTTGCTTGTGTTCCCACGCCCTGTAATGGGGTTTTACAGGTGTACCCCTTCAAGGGGGGCTCTGCACATGGTTATGCACTTCAGGCAGATAGGGGGTGTGTCACAATATATTTATATCTATTTAGTATAATCTGCCTGTAGTGTAGTTGTTGTGTAATTCCCTTGTATGGTGGTGCACCTCTTTCACCTTTGTTAGGTTGCTATATGAACTCGTGTGCTATAGTGAACCTCCAACCATTTTCAATTCTCCTTGGCACAAACTCATTCGACACCCGTTTGGCCTAGGCTACTAAGCCTAGGCCCTTAGTTGAACCCGTTCCTAGCTTAAGTTCGTCTCGTGACACACCTCAGTGACCTCACCCTTGCAGCGCAAGGGGAAGACTATGGTGTAACGCGAGTAGTTGTCAACCACCAGCAGGAAATAACGCTCGTGACCCTGTCCACGGACGCGGGCTGGGCCCCACACGTCCATGTGGAGAGTCTGCAGTGGAGCCTCTGTCGGAGGAAACTCGGAGGAGTGAGGAGCGGCGCGCTGCCGCCCCTCAACGCAGGGAACGCAGGTAGGGGCAGGCCCCGGGGGAAGGGGAGGGAGGGACCGGGGGAGACCAGAGACGAGGACACGGGAGGCCATGCTTCGAAGACGAGGCAGGGAGGGGTGACGAAGGCGGTGGTGCCAGAGGAGAGTCTGGTGAGACAGGAGACGACACGAGTAGGGGGCTGACTCAGGACCAGACCTAGATGCTGCAGAAAACACCTGACCCGTCGCAGCTACCTGACCAGACACAGTAACCGGAGGAGACTCGGTAGTCAGTGTGTAGAGGCTCGACCCCGGCTGACGGGTAAACGTGGCCAAGTGTCGGCCCGTCCGAGCACACGTGCAGTGGGTCACTCGCTGACTCGCAGGAGTGAACTGGTCAACCCCCCCATCCTGCAGGTCAGCACCACTCACCAAGTTCGTGGAGAACGAGGGGAGGTAAAGACCTGACAGGGAGCCAGACGGGGCCGCCGGACACGGTAGGACAGTGGAGTAGTGGGCAAGGACAGGACCCCCAGAGGGGTCTGCCAGGGAGACTGCAACCGGCCGACTAAGCGGCGTGAGTGTGGTGCGGTCTCGAAAGAAGGAGCAGGAAGCACCCGAGTCAAGGGTGAAGGTGTGCAAGACCGCAGCAGGCGTAGCACCAGAGAGAGCAGACTCACCAGCACCTGGAGAAGTAGACTCACCAGCACCTAGAGCAGCAGCCTCACCAACATCTGGAGCAGGAGACGCACGAGCACCTAGAGCAGCAGCCTCACCGGCACCTGGAGCAGGAGACGCACCAGCACCTAGAGCAGCAGACTCACCAGCACCTAGAGCAGCAGACTGGATACCGGGGTCAGGCGGCACACACAGGTGACAGGCACCCTCAGCACTAGTAGACAATGCATACATGGCAGTGAAGATAGCATCATAGTCAAGAGCAAAGATATCTACCCTCTACCTAAGCAGCTCCACCCAGTCGGGGAGCTCAGCGTCGTCGCCAAACTCTGTACGCCAAGCGTCGCTCAGACGGGCGAAGCAGCGGGACTCTGTGTGACTAACCGTCCCGCAAGGCTGACCAATCCGGACACCTGTGCGAATGATGTCAAACTATATTTCTATAGCTTGTGTAGTTCTAGTCTAGGTGTTCTCCCTTATGTTATTTTTGTACTTGCACTAGGGTCTGGTTTTCATATATCTTGTTTGTACTTTCTGTTTTTTTGGTTAACTTTTACATTGTGACATGGTATAGAGCTAGGTTCACCCTAGAGAGATTTTCCCCTTAGGAAAAATCACTCGACTATGATGGGCCCACCTAGTCGCGCCCCGTCCTAGACTGCCCGTAGCGCGCTTACCTTAGGACCCGTCGCCCGTAGACCCCCTCCCCCCGTCGCATTCGCCCGTTGCCCGTTTCCCCCCGTCGATCGCGGCCGTTTTCTTTTTTTTTTTTCCCCGTCGCCCGTCACCCGTCGCAGCTGTTCCTTAACGGGCCCCGCGGCCTTTCGTTAGCGGGCCCCGCGACCCTTCGTTAGCGGGCCCCGCGGCCCTTCGTTCGTGGGCCCAGAGGCCCCTTCGCTAGCGTGCCCCGCGGCCCCGTCGTTAGTCGCACGCACGCACAGAAGCAACCGCGCGCACCAATGACCCGTCCCCCCACTCGTTTCCCACCGTCTTAACCGCCGCCCCACCCGTTAGATGCGGCCCCACCCGATGCCTTACCCGCCGCCCACCCTGTTAGCCGTCGCCTCACCCGCGATCTGCCGCCTTACGAGCAGAAAACAGCCGCCACACCAGAAATCGGCCGCCCCAGGAACTGCAATCCGCTGTCCCAGACCTGAAACTGCCGCCCCACCTGGAAACATACTGCCCCACCCGTTCCTGTCACCTCACCCGGAATCAGCCGCCCAACCCAGTACTCTCCACTGCACTGAACCGCACAGAACCGTGCAGAACCGCACAGAACCGCACAGAACCGTGCAGAATCACGCAGAACTGCACAGAACTGTACCGAACCGCACAGAACCGCCGCCTTACCTTCCCCACCCGTCGCCCGCTGCCTTACCAGCCGCCCCACCTGACACCCGCCTCCCCACGAACTACCACACCCGCCGCCAGTAGCACTAGCAGATTACACGGCCGCCAGTAGCACCAGCAGCCTAGTCTACCGCCAGGAGCACCACCAGCAACTTAGACTGCCGCCAGTCGCACCAGCAGCAGCTTCCACTGTCGTCAGCGCACCAGCAGCAACTTGAACTACCCCCTAGCAAAACCAGCAACTTACACCGCCCCACCCGGTACTCCCCAACCGCGCAGAACCGCACTGAACTGCACAAAACCGCTCAGAACCGCACCCGCTGCCCCACCCGTTCCAGCCAGAGCTGCTGCCCCACCCGTTCCAGACTCCTCACCCGGAATCAGCCGCCCCACCCGGTACTCTCCACCCCGCAGAACCGCACAGCACTGCACAGAACCGCGCAGAACCGCACTGAACTGCACAGAACCGCGCAGAACCGCACCCGCTGCCTCACCTGTACCAGTCAGAGCTGCCCCCCCCCCCCCCCCCCCCCCCCCCCCTCCCCACGACCTGAATCCTCCGCCTCAAGGGCTGAAACCCGCCACCAGCAGCACCAGTAGCAGCAGGTTAGGCTGCCCCAGCGCTCGAGCAGCAGCTTAGGCTACCGCTAGAGCACCAGCAGCACCTTAGGCTGCCCCCAGCGGAACCAGCAGCAGGATAGCCTACCGCCAGCAGCAGTCTAGGCCCACCTGCCAGCACCACCCCCGTTTCTAGCTACTCACATGGCTTGTATTCGAGTTCTACAGCAGCAGGGCCAGCCGCAGCACTCCCGGCAGTGGGGACCTGCGGATCCAAAGTGTGGAGCCCTCAGCAGTGGCTCAGCTAGCAGTGGGCGAGACGTCGGCCCCTGCGGGTACCGGGCCCTGACAGGCCCTGGTGCTGGCACTACCTGCTGGAGTCCTGATCACTCTGCATCCAGCTGCTACCGTCGACTCGACGACCTCCACCGTGAGCGTTTTGGTCCTCACGCTATCACATTGTGACAAATGACGTACGGGCAACGAGCAGTACTCAGCGACCCTCTACTCTGAGCGTACCGCTCACGAAGCTGCTGGGGCGAAAGAGCCTCGCGCGGACGACGCTGCAGCTGCACCTGGCCACTACCAGAAGCTCCCAAACTACTCACTCCAGGGCGACTCCCACTACGGCCACCCCGACAACCCCAACTAGCGTACCACTCACGAAGCTGCTGGGGCATGAGGGACTCATGTGGACGGCCTTGGAGCTGCATCTGGCCATGCCAGGAGCTGCATTAGCAGCAGTAGCAGCAATAACAGCAGTAACAGTAGTAGCGGCAGTAGTAGCAGTAGCAGCGCGGGCAGGGCAGTGCTCACCAGTGGAGGGAAGGGCAGGCGCACGACGGCGGCAACGGCGGGGCCGCTACAGCGGCAGGTCGGGGCCGCGACCGCGGCAGGGAGCTCCGCGGCAGTTGCTGCAGGGCGGGGCCGGGCCGCGACGGCAGCTGGTGCAGGGCAGGGACAGGGCCGCGACGGCAGCTGCTGCAGGGCGGGGCAGTCCGCGACGGCAGCTGCTGCAGGGCGGGGCAGTCCGCGACGGCCGCTGCTGTAGGGCGGGGCAGGGCTGCGACGGCAGCTGCTGCAGGGCGGGGCAGGGGCGGCCGTCCAAAGGGCGGGCGCGGGGTAGGGCAGGGCGCCACGGCGGGCAGGGGCGACGCCGCGCGGGTCCCGCAGGGGCGTCGCGACGAGCGGGGGGCGACGCCCGGGTCCCGTTGGGGCGGCGCGACGCGCAGGAGCCGCGCCTCGCGGGTCCCGCAGGGGCGTCGCGACGAGGCAAGGGCGACGCCCGGGTCCCGCATAGGTGTCGCGACGAGCAGGGCGACGTGTCGCGGGGTCCAGGGGCCGCGCCGCGGGGTCCAGGGGCGGCTGCGTGGGTGCAGAGCAGGCCCGCGCGCGGCCTACAGGGCAGGGCGGCAGGGTGGCGCTCGAGGGCGCGGGTAGGCAGGCGCTCAAGGGCGCGGGTAGGCAGACGCTCGAGGGCGCGGGTAGGCAGGCGCTCGAGGGCGCGGGTAGGCAGGCGCTCGAGGGCGCGGGTAGTCAGGCGCAAGGCACGTGACAGGGCAGGCAGGCACGACAGTGCGATTCGGGCAGGGCAGAAAAAAAAAAGTTTGTGGTGGGCCCTAAAAAAAAATCGGTTTCACTAGGGAACCTGCTCTGAAACCATGTGAGAATGACAGAACAAGGAATTGCTGAACTAGCAAGTAGATGGGTACAAGTAGGAAAACCTAGCAGTGTTATACCCCATATGGTCTACCCCACTACAGCCTACACAGACTATGTCATGTATGTTTGACATGTTGTCTAAGTACACGATGACCCATTTATCTGGAAGCAGGCGGAAGGCTTTGTTCATTGTCATTTGGAAGGTGGCGGGGGCGTTGTTCAGTTCGAAAGGCATTACCGTGTATTCGAATGATCCGT